GGTAGGGTCAGTGACAACAGTAGCTAGGAGACGCGTGACTGTAGGGTGCTCAGTGCGATACCGGTCAGACTCAGGGTCCGGAACGGCAGGCAAAGAGGACGCAGGAGGAGACGGTAGAGGGACACGCCGAGGAGCAGTAGAGGGACGCAGAGTCATGTAGTGAGTGCCTGGGACAGGAGGAGGACGCTCACGACGGACACGACTACCAGCGCGAGCAGGACGAACAGGCGACGCAGGACGAGACTCAGGCTCACGACGCTCTGTAAGACCTCCTGTGGGACCAGTGTAAGGAGAGGGAGCAGGGAGAGGCGAGGCAGGCGGTAACTGTGACTGCGGCTGGACAGGCAGAGGACACTCTACGGAGGGAGGAGGACAAGGAGGAGGAGCCTGCCCAAGAACCTGCTGAAGGAGCGGTACGAAGTACGGTCGCGGCCGCGCAGCGTCTCCAGAAGCAGAAGAGACTCCAGCGGCCGGGTCCTCAGGACCAGCAGGAGCTCCAACGGCCGGGTCCCCAGCACCAGCAGCAGCGCCACCGCTCAGGTCCTCAGCTCCAGCAGCAGCTCCACCAGGCGGGTCCGCAGCACCAGCAGCAGCGCCACCCCCAGAGTCGGCAGCTCCAACTCCGCTAGCACCGCCAGCGCCAGGGTCCCCAGCTCCAGCAGCTCCAGTCGCAGTGCTCCCAGAACAACCAGTCCCGGCAGCTCCAGTACCCCCAGTACGAGCACCCCCAGGACGAGCAGCCCCAGCACCCCCAACTCCAGCCGAGCCACTAGGACGGCGAAAGCGCCGGACGTATTAGTCACGAAGCTGCTGCGGTGTGAGAGACTGCTCAGCACCCCGAACCGGAGCACCCCCAGACACAGTAACCCGAGGCTCCGTAGGCTCAGTAGCAGCACCCCCAGGCGCAGTACCCGCAGGCTCAGCACCCCCAGGCTCAGCACCTCCAGACTCAGCACCCCCAGACTCCGCACACGCAGGCTCAGCACCCCCAGTCGCAGCACCCCCAGGCTCAGCACCCCCAGGCGGCAAACTCTCAGGCACAGTACCCTCAGCTCCAGCACCCGCAGTCCCAGCACTCCCAGCAGTACCACCTGCAGCAGCACCTGAGTCACCTGTGACCTCGACAGGCTCAGCGACGGGAGGAGGGTCTACCTGAGAGACACCTGAAGGAGCAGGACCCTGAGGGGGAAGGGGGTCTACCGGAGGGGGACCAGGAGCAAGGAAAAGCGGCGGGGGAGGGAGGGGGGCAGTGCGGTAGGGGAAGAGACGGTAAAAAGGGACCGACTCGTCAAAGGTGACATCCTGAGAGGCGAAGACCCGGCGCGAGGTGGGGTGGTAAAACTGCCAGCCCGGCGCGTCAGGGACAAAGCCAAGGAAGACACAGGGAAGCGTGCGGGAGGAGAGCTTGTCCGCGGACGTATCGCGGACAAGGGCACGAGCACCCCAGACCCGGAAATGCGACGCATCGCCAACCTCCCCCGTCCAACGCAGTGTGGGCGAGGTCTCCGGCAAGGAGACACGGGGCCAGAGGTTGAGCTGATGCGCGGCGTACCGGACAGCAAACGGCCACAGAAAATGGGGAGCCGCCGCGTGGACCAAGGAGGTACGAGCGACCTCCATGACCAGACCAATGCGGCGCTCAGCAACCCCATTCTGCTGTGGGGAGTCCGGAAGCGTGAAGGTCTGCTCGATGCCCTCCGCCTGACAGAAGGTCCTCAAGAGATCGGAGGAGAACTCACCACCTCTGTCAGAGTGCAGACGCAGGACAGGAAGATCCGTCCGGAAACGGCGGCGGAGCTGGAGACGAACTGTGCGGATCCAAGGGATCAGAACAGCAGGGACCTCACCCTTGGTGCGCAAGGGGAAGACCGTGGTGTAACGCGAGTAGTCGTCGACAACCAGCAAAAAGTACCGCTCACCGCCCTGACCACGAACGCGGGCTGGGCCCCACACGTCCAGGTGGAGGGTCTGCAGAGGAGCCTCTGTCGGGGGGAACGAGGAGGAGTGAGGAGCGGCGCGCTGCCGCCCCTCGACGCAAGGAAGGCAAGGCGGCGCAGGAGAGGCAGGGAGGGGAGGGAGGGACCTGGGAAGACCAGACACAAGGTGGCGACGGTGCATGCCACGAAGGCGTGGCAAGGAGGGGTGACCCAGGCGGTGGTGCCAGAGAAGAGTCTGGTGCGACAGGGAACGACACTCACAGGCGTGGCCTACCAGACCTGACGCAGACACCTGACCGACAGCAGCGACCTGAGGAGACGCAGTGGTCAGTGTGTAGAGACTCGACCCCGGCCGACGGGTAAACGTAGCCAGGTGACGGCCGGTCCTGGAGCACGTGCAGATCGCCACACGCTGTCCTCCAGGGGTAAAGGTGTCAACCCACTGATCCTGGAGGACAGCGTTGCTCACCAGGTTCGTCGAGAACGAGGGGAGGTGGAAACCCGACAACGAGCCAGACGGAGCCGCCGGACAAGGGAGGACAGTGGTGGACTGGGCAAGGACTGGGCCCCCAGAGGGGTCAGCCAAGGAGACTGGGACCGGTGCAGGAAGCGGTGTGAGCTCAGTACTGTCACGAAAGAAGCAACGGGAAGCACCTGAGTCAAGGGTGAAGGTGTGACAGGTCTCAGTCGGTGCAGTACCTGAGAGAGCAGTCTCTGTGGGTGCTGTACCTGAGAGAGCAGACTCGAAAACAGCCGGGACAGCACTGGAGGGAGCAAGTACAGGGGGCACCATACCAGAGAGAGCAGACTCACTAGTACCCAGGGCAGCGGGCTCTATACCTGGGTCAGGCGGCACACACAAGTAACAGTCTCCCTCGGCACTAACAGTCAATGCATACATGGCAGCAATAATAGCATCAAAGTCAAGAGCAAAGACATCAACACCAGCCCTCATGAGCTCAGCCCAGCGGGGGCGCTCAACATCCGCACCCATCTCCTCACGCCAAGCGTCGTCAAGGCGGGAGAAGCAGCGGTACGGGGTGTGGAACCTCCCACACGTCTGTCCCTTGCGGTCACCTGTGCGAATGACATAAGAACAGCGGCCACTGCCCCCCGACGTCCCACGCTGAGCAAGCCACTCACGAAGCTGCTGGGTCGTCTGGGGACGCTGCTGCTGCTGGGAGCTCTGGCCCGAGCCAGTGCCTCCACTCCGACCTCCGCCGCCACCACTACCACCGCTCCGACCGCCACCGCCACCACCGCCACCACCGCCACCGCCGCCACCGCCGCCGCCGCCACTACTGCCACTGCTTCCTCCGCCGCCCCCGCCTCCACCACCGACCCCACTCCCACCAGCGCTCCCGCCACCGCTCCCTCCAGCACCGCCTCCCCCCCCACCTCCCCCACCTCCTCCCCCCCCAGCGCCACCACCACCACCCTTGCCCCCCTTGCCCTTGCCGGTGCGGCGCCTCCCACCAGGAGCAGAAGCAGCGCCAACAGACTCAGCACCAAGGAAGTCAACAGCAGCAGCAGTAGCATAGGAGGGAGCGAGGGGAGAGGGAGAGCACCCCTCAAAGATGGGGGTGCGAGGAGCGCCGCGAGCAGCACCTACAGCGACAATGCTCTTCTCGGCTGCTAGCAGCTTCTCCTCTAGGAGGGCGACAGTGAGCTCAGTGGGACAGCGAGCAAGGAAATAGTCGCGCACTGAGCTGAGGGTGTCAGGGAGACGGGTGACTATGAAGTGGAGTGTCCAGTACAGGGGAGGGGGGTTCTTAGCGCAGAACTCGGTGGGAAGGGCGGCACGCAGGCGAGCATCACTAGTGCGAAGGTGGGTGATAAGATCGGCGACTGTAGCAAAGGTGGACAGATCGGGGAACAGGTACGGCAGCATGAGGCGGCTAAGCTCGGCTGTGGCAGGCGAGGAGTAGCGAGCAACGACAGCATCGTGCAGAATGAATGAACTAGCAGAAGTTTGGGTACAAATATGAAACCCTAGTTGGGGTTTTACCCCATATTGGCTACCCCACTACAGCCTACAAGCATAATACAGTTTAACATGTATTTCTCCTCTAACGAAGATGAGAAAACACCGTGATTAAACGAGTCAATAGCTTTATTAGTGCAACACAAATGTTGCAAACTTGTCTCTCCCGAAGGAATATCAATTTGTCGGTCACGTAACAAGCGTGCGTCTGTAGGAGTTTGGGCTCCTTCGCGTAAACGATTTAACAATTCGGCAAATCTGGCCTCTTTGCGTTGCCGCATAATCGTCGTAAGCTCAACAAGTTGTACACGTCTCCAAATGTCTCAATCGCATGTTGAAGACAGATTGGTACGATCGTCGAAACAATGGATATCGCGCACAGGAGGTAGTTGGAAAGAATCTCCAACAAAAACCATGTGCAAACCTCCGAAAGGAACGTTCGCGTTATTCGTAAGCCCACGAAGCCTGAAATCTATCCATTCGAATGTGTTTCTCCCAACCATTCATATTTCATCGACAATAACAACCTTAACGTCTCCAAGTCTTGATCTTAAAGTATGTAACCTGTCCGAAGTCAATTTTTTTTACGGCGATTCTGCACGACTGGAATCATTAATGCGTTATGGATTGTGTAACTTCTAATTTGGAAAGCAGCAACTCATGAAGGGGCTATTTTCAACACTTTTATCATATTAAAGCCAGCAGCTAAAATAGTGACCCCCCCCTTCTAGTTGGGTCCACTTGAAAACACAACTTTGTTTGGAACGTTTGGAAAATTGAGTTCACTGCGTTTTTACTTTTTCTCCCAGACGAGTCTCCATGTGACCGGCGAAAATTTGGGAACTTGTTTACGAATCTGATTGGTGGCGACTTTCACCCAATTTGGTGTGCGAATTTGGCGCAAGGCTGACTGTTGCATTCACTGGAGGAGCCCTCGTAACTTCACCAAATTCCACATATGCAATATCCAGCGCACACACAGGCAGAATCCAGCGCGCACACAGGCACAATCCAGCGCTCAAACATGTCAAATCTGGCATGGCAAAATCAGGCAAGACCCAGCGCACACACAGGCAAAATCACTCGGAAAAAAAAAGGGGGGGGGGGGGAAATAGTACAAGAGCGGTTGCAATAGGGAGGGAGGAAGGGCGTGAGGACGGTTGGGCAGGTCGACAGCGAAGGCGAAGAGCAGGGAGTGAGGACAGGGGGGGCGACGGGACAGGAGGGGAGAGAGGAGGAACAACGGGATGTGGGGAGCGAAGGCGACGGGAGGACAGGGGAGAAAGGAAGGGTGATGGAAGGGGAGAGGAGAACACCAGGAAGACGGGAAGGTAGGGGAGAACGTGAGCGCGATCAAAAGGGGCGGAAGAAAGTGAAGTGACGGGAAGGGAAGAGAGATTGTGAGGGCGACGAGAAGGGATGTAGTGGTTGGGTGTCATCTCAGCAGCACATTGCTCTCTGCTCGGAAATAACCGTGGAGGTAGCGAGGGCGACGGGGAAAGGGGGGGAGATAGCGAGCGCGACGAGAGAGGGGGGGAGACAGCGAGCGCGACAGGGAGAGGGGGGAGATAGCGAGCACGACAGGGAGAGGGGGGAGATAGCGAGCGCGACAGGGAGAGGGGGGAGATAGCGAGCGCGACAGGGAGAGGGGGGAGATAGCGAGCGCGACAGGGAGAGGGGGGAGATAGCGAGCGCGACAGGGAGAGGGGGGAGATAGCGAGCGCGACAGGGAGAGGGGGGAGATAGCGAGCGCGACAGGGAGAGGGGGGAGATAGCGAGCGCGACGGGCAGCGTGGAGAGATAACGAGGGCGAAGGGATGGGAGAGCTGATCGCGAAGGCTAACTGAACAGAACGCAATGGGAAACGGGAGCACGATGGGATGAGAGAGCAGATCGCGAAGCCTAACTGAACGGAGGGCGACGGGAAACGGGATGGCGTCGGGAGGAAAGGGAGGGTGACGAGGTGGGTGATGCGAAGGGAGAGAGGAAGGTGCGGGATGAGTGGGTACGAAGGCGACGAGAAGGGACGGGACGGGTGAGTACGAAGGCGCGGGAGCGGGAAGGAAGGCACGAGGGCGACGGGATGGGAGGGGAGAGCGCGGAGGCGACGGGAACGGAGGGAAGATACGGGGTGGGCGACATGAGGGCATTTCAGGACAAGCGCGAGAGCGGAGAGCGAGAGGGGCCGACAGTAACAGAAACGTAACGATTGCGCGAGAGGCGAAAGAGCACTTCGCCACTAGGCCAGCATAGATTGCTCACACGAATTAGTTGGTACCTGCCTAGGCAAAATCGCTAGTTTCGAGCTATTCTAGGCTAGGCGAAATAAGAGACAACAATGGAAAGGAGTCATGAAACCCAGGCCCAACTTGAAGTTGAAGTTGGGCCCGGCGATCAAAACGATCGCCATGCAGCCGTCGTGCAGGTGCACCTCGTTGAAGACGACCCCTCGCGCGAGAGGCAATTCTTTTCGTTTTTAACGGGAGCCAATCACGTGGGTTCGATCTGCACGCCCAAAAGGTTAGAAACAGTGTTTTTAACAGCCCGGGCTCGTTTGCGTTTCGCTTCGATTTTCAAGTTGGGACGGGGTTCACTATTTTATATTTTGGTTTTAAAGTTTGTGTGAATTTGCGCATGGAATATACGAATTAGTCGATCGGGAACAGTTCTAATCAAAACAGATTTTCCGACACCGGCACCTCCGCTGACGAATATGGATAAAGGCCCAAAATGAAAGGAACGACGCACTCCACGTACAATGTGATCGGCGATTGCCCGTTGCTCCGCATTCAACATGCGTTCCATTGATAGATAATTGCTCTCGTTCGTAAGCACCCTATAAAAAATATCAGTGGATTGGACAAATTTGTCAAACCCAAGTTCGATGCCAATGTCAACATCTTCATTCGGGGATGTTTCGTTATCAGGATCGTCGGTGTCGTTATCCACATCGATGGCATCTTCTAGTGCACGTATCCAAGAGTCTCCATTCATCGAACACTCATTCCTCTTGGTCAAAATAACGTCATTGTTCACGGCATAGATTTGCGCAACTTCGCTCGATTCACAAACTTCTTGACGAAAAGGAACAAACAATAATAGCTGCTCACGCATATAGTTATCGTTTTTGACATCACTATGATAGTTGACGTATCGAATGATCTTCCTCCTTGATCGTTTGCGATAAACTCGTCTTTTAGGAGAAATATCAGGACCTATACGGGCTTTATCACTTGTTTCCTCATACTCAGATGAAAAATATGCAAAACAAACGACCTCCATAGCTATTGGTCGATTCATATATCGATCCAATAAAGCATATGGTGTAAAAATATCATTCGATTGAGGATCCAGACCTTCCAATTCGGTCTTTGTCTTCAATAATAACAACCGCCGGCGTGGATGATTTGTATTAATGAATACAAAACCACGAGAGGTTTTTTTGTATGGAAGGCTCGGAATAAGATAAATAGGTTCTTGTGCACTAATTTCTTGGGTGTTTAGTATGTAGTTTCCAATGTCTCGAAGAACGTGTAAAACACCCGTACCTTGCACAGCGGCAAATCTTCTTGCATTCTCAATAATCTTACTTACACCTTTACCTGATTTCGTCATATATGCAGCAATATATGTTGCCACACTATATGGGTCGATACACAATTGAATATCCATGTTACCTCGCCAAACAGATTGTATTATTTTGTTAAAGTTGTTCACGTAACAATCCCGTACATCCCTGGCATGAAAAGGCGTTCGCTTTTTTAGGCCTACACACAAGCAACTAGTACAATCGTCGTAAGTTAAGAGCACCGTGTCCAAGAATAAGGCAAAAGTTAAGTTGGAAGTTTCGATTAAATGATTCTTCCCAAGAGCGTTTAAGAATTCATGTACTGTCTTTCTATTCGACCTATGTTCTTCCACATCGGTGCAATTTTCGCCAAAAGGCATCAAAACTAACGTCGTCGGAAGTGGATACTTAGGTATACCAAAACAACATTTACGCGATGACCGATTCTTCTTTATTCTGCACGTTCTCGTATGGTTATGAGTTTGCACTTCCAAAAGGTCGTTTGTTAGTGAATCTCCAATGGTGCGTGACACGATATGTGCTTATCGGCAAATGCAAGAATCCTATCTAGAGGAATTGCAGCATCGCAAGCTAAAAACTCACTTCATATTAGGCAATGAGTATGAGGGGCACCTCGATGTTGAAATTTGTCGAGAGCAAAATAATCTACGATTCCTCCCAGAATTCCGATTTTCTTTGTTAGAATCTCTCCAAACAATGCATTTTTTCGTTCGACGTAGTATCGGGCGCTAACTACAGGGTATGTGCGTACGAGCAAAGCTATAGTTTCGAAATCCAAAGGAGGAATTATATTGGTATTTGAAAGATTAGCTAAATTTCCTGTATTTTTGTTATGTTCCAGTAGGATAACGTGCAGGTCGATCCATTTTGTATCGGCCATAGATATTATTCAAAAGAATGTTGGCGGGCCTAGCTGACGTATCATTGCAAACAAATCTTTCCTACAATTCTCTAGGTACTGCGGCGACATGCGAAGACTTTTGAATTCGTTGAACAATGAATTTTTTTTTGTAATAATCGACAGGTAACAATCTTCAACATATCCTTAGCCGAATATTGACCAACATGCTCGATCATTTCTCGTCGCACACGTGTGCCAATTACGTTGTCCATCCGAATTAATTCTAGCTTAAACATCTTGAAAAAAATGTTTTGCGGACATGAAGAAAAACGCGCATCTTTATGAAGGAGTTCCCATTTTGCAATATCACGAAAATTTAATGCCGATACATCGACATTTGACAATCAAACTTCTCCGCAAAATAATGTAGGAAACGCTAACTCCTCAACATGTTTATCCATCTGAATAGGCAACGGTCGCTACCTTTTGCCGGGCGCCATTTCGACCACTAATTGCTCTAGATTTTGATACAATGGCTCATTACAAATGATGGTGTCCAAAATTCCGACGTTTAAATCGGCTTTGTCAATATCCGCTTCTACTTCCTCATCGCCTAATTCAGTCACACCTTCGTTAATCTCCGCATAATTGTTAGTTTGATCATCGTTGCTGTGTGATAAAAACAAATTGTGAAGATCGATATCATCAATGTCCTGTCGTCATCAATCTTCAGTCATTCTTTCATTATCTAGTCTTATTCCATTTTTTTTTGAACAAATCTTTCTTCTCCAAAAACGAAATGGCTCGTAATATCTTGGCGGGTCTCACGTTGTCATCATACACAATATGTCCATCATGCAATTTGCGTTTAAAATGCACACGGACAGTATGAGTTTCTTGTGGTAGTCGAGGCAATGCAGTAACCATGTCAACAACCTTGACTGGAACATTTACTACTCCGCCGCGTATCTTGTACTGTTTTCCAACGTGCGTTTGTGTAATGCTTGAAAACACAACGCGCGGTGAAACGAAACGCTCTTCCAAGTCCGACAATCCTGTAAGTTCGTGAGGTCGATTGGGTAGCAATGCTCCCTTTTTTCGAGAAAGTATGGGCGTTTCTTCGCTCATGATTGCCATTTTGCAACTACGACACACTTTTGTAACGGTAGATGCACCGTCTTTCACTATGGACAATTGACGTCTGAACAATAGCTGATCGCAACTTTCATACGCATGTGCAGGGCCTTCTTTGGATGCTTCTTCGAATCGACACATGACTTCATCAACTATTTTAGCTTGCTAGTTTGACTCATCGTATCGAACTTCATGGTCGTAACAAATTGTATCTAATTCCCCATCTCGAAGAAGCTTACTGTCCTCATAGAACTCGCCGACATTGAATGACAATGTTTTAGTGCATTTAGGGCCGAATGCTAAATGCAAAAAAAATTGTCTTGCACATGTTAAACTGTATTATGCTTGTAGGCTATAGTGGGGTAGCCAATATGGGGTACAACCCCAACTAGGGTTTCATATTTGTACCCAAAATTCTGCTAGTTCATCCATTCTTGCCTAGTTATTCTGAAATGGTATTCAGAGCAGGAGGTCCCTAGGACCTACCGACCGTTTTTTAAGGGCCCACCACCGCTCGCATGCGGTTACCACGCTACCCCGTGCCCTAGCCTCGTAGCGCCCTCGTGCGCCCTCGTTAGCGCCCTCGCGCGCCCCTCGTTAGCGCCCTCACGCGCCCCTCGTTAGCGCCCTCGTTAGCGCCCCTCGTTAGCGCCCTCGTGCGCCCCTCGTTAGCGCCCTCGCGCGCCCCTTGCTAGCGCCCTCGCGCGCCCCTCGCTAGCGCCCTCGCGCGCCCCTTGCAGCGTCGCCCGCCCGCCACGCTGCCCGCTCGCCCCTCGCCCGCCGCGCTGCCTGCTCGCAGCGTCGCCCGCTCGCCCCGCTGCCCGCTTCGCAGCCCGCTCGCTCGCTGCCCGCTTCGCAGCCCGCCCGCCCGCTCGCTGCCCGCTTCGCGGCCCGCCCGCTTCGCTGCCCGCTCGCAGCGCCGCCCGCCAGCCCGCTACCCGCTTCGCAGCATCGCCCGCCCGCTCGCTCGCTGCCCGCTCGCAGCGTCGCCCGCCCGCCCGCTGCCCGCTTCGCCGCGTCGCCCGCTCGCAGCGTCGTCCGCCCGCCTGCTGCCCGCTCGTAGCGTCGCCCTCCCGCCTCGCTGCCCGCTTGCAGCGTCGCCCGCCCGCCCGCTGCCCGCTTGCAGCGTAGCCCGCCCGCCCGCTGCCCACTTTGCAGCCGCCCGCCGCGCTGCCCGCTCGCCGCGTCGCCCGCCCGCCCCGCTGCCCGCTTCGCAGCCCGCCCGCCGCACTTCCTGCCTGTGCACCGCCGCTTGCTCCTGCTGTGGCTGCTAGCCTCGCTCTAGCGCGTCCCCTCTGCTGCTGCCGCTGCTCTGCTGTGCCCTCACGCCTGAGCTATGGCCTCTATTCGCGTTCTTTCCTTCGATGCTGAGGGCCGTCCCGTGCAGTTTACTTCCTGGCTCGACGACCTGCAGTTGTATCTTATGAGCAATAGCACGGACCACATCTCCCTCTATGACTACGCGTCTGGTGCTGCCGCTGCTCCTGCTGCCACAGCCGAGCTTAGTGTACGTTCACAGTGGCAGACTCGTGACGCTGCAGCTCGCCTGGCTATTCGCAGTCACCTGCCGTTACCTGAGCTAGAGCACTTTGGCGACTGCAAAACCGCTAAGGCCCTATACGACGCTGTCGTTGCTCGCTACTCTTCGCCTGCCACAGCCGAGCTTAGCCGTCTCATGCTGCCTTACCTGTTCCCTGACCTGTCCACCTTTGCTACAGTCGCCGATCTTATCACCCACCTTCGCACTAGTGATGCTCGCCTGCGTGCCGCCCTTCCCACCGAGTTCTGCGCTAAGAACCCCCCTCCCCTGTACTGGGCACTCCACTTCATAGTCACCCGTCTCCCTGACACCCTCAGCTCAGTGCGCGACTATTTCCTTGCTCGCTGTCCCACTGAGCTCACTGTCGCCCTCCTAGAGGAGAAGCTGCTAGCAGCCGAGAAGAGCATTGTGGCTGTTGGTGCTGCTCGCGGCGCTCCTCGCACCCCCATCTTTGAGGGGTGCTCTCCCTCTCCCCTCGCTCCCTCCTATGCTACTGCTGCTGCTGTTGACTTCCTTGGTGCTGAGTCTGCTGGCGCTGCTTCTGCTCCTGGTGGGAGGCGCCGCACCGGCAAGGGCAAGGGGGGCAAGGGTGGCGGGGGTGGCGCTGGGGGGGGAGGGGGTGGGGGAGGTGGGGGGGGAGGCGGTGCTGGAGGGAGCGGTGGCGGGAGTGCCGGTGGGAGTGGGGCCGGCGGCGGAGGCGGGGGCGGCGGCGGGAGCAGTGGCGGTGGTGGCAGCGGCGGCAGTGGCGGCGGTGGCGGTAGTGGCGGTGGCGGTGGCGGTGGTGGCGGTCGGAGCGGAGGTAGTGGCGGCGGTGGAGGTCGGAGTGGAGGCACCGGCTCGGGCCAGAGCTCCCAGCAGCAGCAGCGTCCCCAGTCGACCCAGCAGCTTCGTGAGTGGCTTGCTCAGCGTGGGACGTCGGGGGGCAGTGGCCGCTGTTCTTATGTCATTCGCACAGGTGATCGCAAGGGGCAGACGTGTGGAAAGTTCCACACTCAGTACCGCTGCTTCTTCCGCCTTGACGACGCTTGGCGTGAGGAGATGGGCGAGGATGTTGAGCGCCCTCGCTGGGCTGAGCTGATGAGGGCTGGTGTTGATATCTTTGCTCTTGACTATGATGCTATTATTGCTGCCATGTATGCATTGACTGTTAGTGCCGAGGGAGACTGTTACTTGTGTGTGCCGCCTGACCCAGGTATAGGGCCCGCTGCCCTAGGTACTAGTGAGTCTGCTCTCTCTGGTATGGTGCCCCCTGTACCTGCTCCCTCCTGCACTGTCCCTGCTGCTTGCGAGTCTGCTCTCTCAGGTACAGCACCCACAGAGACTGCTCTCTCAGGTACTGCACCGACTGAGACCTGTCACACCTTCACCCTTGACTCAGGTGCTTCCCGCTGCTTCTTTCGAGACAGTACTGAGCTCACACCGCTTCCTGCACCGGTCCCAGTCTCCTTGGCTGACCCCTCTGGGGGCCCAGTCCTTGCCCAGTCCACTACTGTGCTCCCTTGTCCGGCGGTTCCGTCTGGCTCGTTGACGGGTTTCCACCTCCCCTCGTTCTCGACGAACCTGGTGAGCAACGCTGTCCTCCAGGATCAGTGGGTTGACACCTTTACCCCTGGAGGACAGCGTGTGGCGATCTGCACGTGCTCCAGGACCGGCCGTCACCTGGCTACGTTTACTCGTCGGCCGGGGTCGAGTCTCTACACACTGACCACTGCGTCTCCTCAGGTCGCTGCTGTCGGTCAGGTGTCCGCGTCAGGTCTGGTGGCCCACGCCTGTGAGTGTCGTTCTCTGGCACCACCGCCTGGGTCACCCCTCCTTGCCACGCCTCCGTGGCATGCACCGTCGCTGCCTTGTGTCTGGTCTTCCCAGGTCCCTCCCTCCCCTCCCTGCCTCGCCTGCGCCGCCTTGCCTTCCTTGCGTCGAGGGGCGGCAGCGCGCCGCTCCTCACTCCTCCTCGTTCCCCCCGACAGAGGCTCCTCTGCAGACCCTCCACCTGGACGTGTGGGGCCCAGCCCGCGTTCGTGGCCAGGGCGGTGAGCGGTATTTTTTGCTGGTTGTCGACGACTACTCGCGTTACACCACGGTCTTCCCCTTGCGCACCAAGGGTGAGGTCCCTGCTGTTCTGATCCCTTGGATCCGCACAGTTCGTCTCCAGCTCCGCCGCCGTTTCCGGACGGATCTTCCTGTCCTGCGTCTGCACTCTGACAGAGGTGGTGAGTTTTCCTCCGACCTCTTGAGGACCTTCTGTCAGGCGGAGGGCATCGAGCAGACCTTCACGCTTCCAGACTCCCCACAGCAGAATGGGGTTGCTGAGCGCCGCATTGGCCTGGTCATGGAGGTCGCTCGTACCTCCTTGGTCCATGCGGCGGCTCCCCATTTTCTGTGGCCGTTTGCTGTCCGGTATGCCGCGCATCAGCTCAACCTCTGGCCCCGTGTCTCCTTGCCGGAGACCTCGCCCACACTGCGTTGGACGGGGGAGGTTGGCGATGCGTCGCGCTTCCGGGTGTGGGGTGCTCGTGCCCTTGTCCGCGATACGTCCGCGGACAAGCTCTCCTCCCGCACGCTTCCCTGTGTCTTCCTTGGCTTTGTCCCTGACGCGCCGGGCTGGCAGTTTTACCACCCCACCTCGCGCCGGGTCTTCGCCTCTCAGGACGTCACCTTTGACGAGTCGGTCCCTTTTTACCGTCTCTTCCCCTACCGTACTGCCCCCCTCCCTCCCCCGCCGCTTTTCCTTGCTCCTGGTCCCCCTCCGGTAGACCCCCTTCCCCCTCAGGGTCCTGCTCCTTCAGGTGTCTCTCAGGTAGACCCTCCTCCCGTCGCTGAGCCTGTCGAGGTCACAGGTGACTCAGGTGCTGCTGCAGGTGGTGCTGCTGGGAGTGCTGAGCCTGCGGGTGCTGGGCCTGGGAGTGCTGGGACTGCAGGTGCTGGAGCTGAGGGTACTGTGCCTGAGAGTTCGGCGCCTGGGGGTGCTGAGCCTGGGGGTGCTGCGACTGGGGGTGCTGAGCCGGCGTGTGCGGAGTCTGGGGGTGCTGAGTCTGGGGGTGCTGCGACTGGGGGTGCTGAGCCGGCGTGTGCGGAGTCTGGGGGTGCTGAGTCTGGGGGTGCTGCGCCTGCGGGTACTGAGCCTGGGGGTGCTGCTACTGAGCCTACGGAGCCTCGGGTTGCTGCGTCTGGGGGTGCTCCGGTTCGGGGTGCTGAGCAGTCTCTCACACCACAGCAGCTTCGTGACTGGTACGTCCGGCGTTTTCGCCGTCCCCGTGGCTCGGCTGGAGCTGGGGGTACTGGAGCTGCCGGGACTGGTTGTTCTGGGAGCACTACGACTGGAGCTGCTGGAGCTGGGGACTCTGGGGGTGCTCTTCCTTGCGGTGCTGCGGACCCTGGGGGTGGTGCTGCTGCTGGTGCTGCGGACCCACCTGGTGGAGCTGCTGCTGGAGCTGAGGACCCGAGCGGTGGCGCTGCTGCTGGTACTGGGGACCCGGACGCTGGAGTCTCTTCTGCTTCTGGAGACGCTGCGCGGCCGCGGCCGTACTTCGTACCGCTCCTTCAGCAGTTTCTTGGGCAGACTCCTCCTTCTTGTCCTCCTCCCTCCGTAGAGTGTCCTCCACCTGTCCAGCCGCAGTCACAGTTACCGCCTACCTCGCCTCTCCCTGCTCCCTCTCCTTACACTGGTCCCACAGGAGGTCTTACAGAGCGTCGTGAGCCTGAGTCTCGTCCTGCGTCGCCTGTCCGTACTGCTCGCACTGGTCGTCGTGTCCGTCGTGAGCGTCCTCCTCCTGTCCCAGGCACTCACTACATGACTCTGCGTCCCTCTACTGCTCCTCAGCGTGTCCCTCTGCCGTCTCCTCCTGCGTCCTCTTTGCCTGCCGTTCCAGACCCTGAGTCTGACCGGTATCGTGCTGAGCACCCTACTGTCACGCATCTCCTAGCTACTGTTGTCACTGACCCTACCTTTGAGTCCTCGGCTGCGTCTGCTCTGGTCGCTGAGTTGGTTGACTTTGCTGCTGCCTGTCGTCTAGACTACGCTGCTCGCCTTGTTGCTGGGTCTGAGTCTGCGTCTGTCTGTCCTCCGTCCGTCGGGGGTGAGTGTGCTATTGGCACGGACGTCCTTGAGGACAGGCAGGAGGACTTTGACTCTCTCGCGGCTGCTGTACCTCATCTCGTGGCCTGGTTGCTTGCCCCTGAGGGAGACCCGGATGCACTAGACATCCCCACTCCGCGCACTTACGCAGAGGCGATCTCGGGTCCCTACTCCTCTCAGTGGCAGACAGCCATGGACGCAGAGATGGCATCCTGGAAGTCCACAGGCACCTACGTCGACGAGGTTCCCCCTCCTGGGGCGAACATCATCGATGGCATGTGGATTTTCAGGGTGAAGCGGCCGCCAGGTTCTCCGCCTGTCTTCAAGGCTCGTTACGTTGCTAGAGGCTTCAGTCAGCGTCAGGGGGTCGACTTCTTCCAGACCTTCTCCCCCACTCCGAAGATGACCACTCTTCGGGTTCTGCTGCACGTTGCTGCTCAGCGTGACTACGAGCTTCACTCTCTTGACTTCAGCACAGCGTTCCTGCAGGGCAGCCTGCACGAGGAGATCTGGCTGCGCCGTCCACCTGGCTTTACTGGGTCGTTTCCTCCTGGTACCCAGTGGAGCCTCCGCCGGCCAGTCTACGGTCTCCGCCAGGCGCCACGCGAGTGGCACGACACACTGAGGACTACACTTGCGGCTCTTGGGTTCGCGCCGTCTACTGCTGACCCGTCGCTGTTTCTGCGCACAGACACGTCGCTGCCGCCGTTCTACATTCTCGTGTACGTCGACGACTTGGTCTTTGCTACTGCTGACACTGAGGCACTCGCTCGTGTGAAGTCGGAGCTGCAGAAGAGACACACCTGCACTGACCTGGGTGAGCTGCGTAGCTACCTTGGCTTGCAGATCACCAGGGACAGAGCTCGCCGCACCATCACCCTGACTCAGTCACACATGGTGCAGCAGGTCCTTCAGCGCTTCGGCTTCCAGTTCTCCTCACCACAGGCCACACCTCTGGCTACCAGCCACTCGCTCTCAGCTCCACCTCCGGACGAGTCCGTAGAGCCGAGTGGCCCGTACCCAGAGCTTGTGGGCTGCCTCATGTACCTGATGACCTGCACGCGACCTGACCTCGCGTACCCTCTTAGCATCCTTGCTCGTTACGTTGCGCCTGGGAGACACAGGCGAGAGCACTGGGAGGCTGCTAAGAGGGTGCTGCGCTACTTGTGCAGTACATCAGGCATGGGGCTGGTGCTTGGAGGACGCGACAGAGTTGTCCTCACTGGCCACTCGGACGCTTCTTGGGTGGACGACCTGGCTACGCAGCGGTCGTCACAGGGTTACACCTTCAGCCTTGGCTCTGGCTCTGTCTCGTGGCGGTCCACCCGCTCTTCCTCTGTTCTCGGCTCTAGTTGTGAGGCTGAGATCTACGCCACAGCCATGGCTGCACAGGAGTTACGCTGGCTCACCTACCTGCTGACTGACTTGGGAGAGCGGCCTAGTTCTCCTCCAGTTCTGTACGGTGACAACAAGGCGGCTCTTGCCTTGTGTCAGGAGCACAGACTGGAGCACAGGACGAAGCACATTGCTCTTCGCTACTTTCTTGCTCGAGAGCTTCAGCAGCGCGGTCAGCTTCGGCTTGTGTACGTGGACTCGAAGGCCAACACTGCTGATATCTTCACCAAGGCGCTCCCGCCTAGTGATCATCAGCGGCACTGTACTTCTTTAGGCCTTGTGTCCACGTTTCCTCACTTGCTCACTGCTTGACATTCTTTGTACTGTACTTTATATATATCTTGTTGCTTGCTTGCTAGGTTTTGATCACTGTGTTGCTTGTCTTGTACTATATCTAGCACTGCATGTGAACTGGCCTTGTGGCCTTTACTTGTGCTCGGAGTGTGGTGACGTTGTGATCCACCCTGGGCTTTGCTTTGCTTTGCTGGACTGGTCTTGTGACCCTTTGTTCTCCCCCACTTTGCCTATGGGGGTGTGTTAAACTGTATTATGCTTGTAGGCTGTAGTGGGGTAGCCAATATGGGGTACAACCCCAACTAGGGTTTCATATTTGTACCCAAACTTCTGCTAGTTGATCCATTCTTGCCTCGTTATTCTGAAAGCACATGCTGCCGATTCTTCATAATTCCATTTTTCTTGCATGTAGTTACGTCCGTCCACTATTATATGGAAACCGAATTTCTCGCATCCTTCATGGACTCCGGCGTATGACTTTGGAGTAGTCGTTTGTGTGTTTTTCCCACGATCGTTTATTTTGTAGATTCTGTCGAAAAACGGTATGTCTACGAGCTTTCCGTTGCAAATGAGATAACGCCGATCAAACGGAAGCTTTTGGCTTGTCTTTAGTCCTCGATACTTCAAAATATAATATTGCCGTGCCCAAGCAGCATGTCGCTTAGTTGGAAATCCGCGAACAGACATTTTTTTTATAGTTTACCATGAATCGTATGGTAAAACGAGATCCGTCTTCGATGATGCATAGAAGACCTTCACTGTTTGGTGTAATGTTTGGGATTGAAAAGTGAATATCTCCATTAGAATCAATCCGCTCGTCGGACATGGTGAATCTTACTTCATCGTCTTGCTTTTTATCTTCAAAGATATATGGCATCGTCCTTGTTCCATTGTGTGGAACAGTATCGGATGAAGTATGCTCACGCTGCGTGCGCGGCAAAACCAACCCAACTTGTGCACTAGAAAACCTAGACCGTTCTTCATCTTCATGCGCTTCGTGTATACGAACAGGTTGCCCATTGGTTGTTTGCTCACTTGATAGTTCCACACCTTCTTGCACTCTATCAATACGAGTTGGACGCGCACTGTATACTCGCGCAGTAGTTACTGATCCCACTCGTTCGTCAGGATTGCTTGACTGTTCCATAACTTCCTCACCGCAGAAAGATTGTGCACGCCTTGCTTGCTCGAGCGAATCATTGCCGAATGACGCATGCTCATGCTGCATGCGGTACGTTATGTCACCAAGTAGGAAACACGAATGACTAGAAACAGGACAGTACAAGGTTTGTATAGGCAAAACCTAACAGCACTGTACCCCATAAGGAGTGCCCTACTACAGCCTACAATATAGTTCCGACATACCCCCATAGGCAAAGTGGGGGACAAGCTAAAAAACAAAGCAAAGGTCAAGCTCACGGTGGATCACGACATCACCACGCATAGCCTCTGAGCACAAGCAAAAGGCCACAAGGCCAGTTCACATGCAGAGTTATATAACGAGGAGAACAAGTAGTACAGTGATCACAACCTAGCAAGTGTAAGCATGCAGGTGCAAGTATATATAGATCACCGTACTGTTAAATTGTAATGTGTTATATGTTGGTAGGCTGTAGTGGGGTAGCCAATATGGGGTACAACCCCAACTAGGGTTTGCTACTTGTACCCAACTGTTTCATTCAATGCATCATTCTTGCCTAGTTCTTCTAACATGGTATTCAGAGCAGGAGGTCCCTAGGACCTACCGACCGTTTTTTTTTAAGGGCCCACCACCGCTCGCATGCGGTTACCACGCTACCCCGTGCCCTAGCCTCGTAGCGCCCTCGTGCGCCCTCGTTAGCGCCCTCGTGCGTCCTCGTTAGCGCCCTCGCGCGCCCTCGTTAGCGCCCTCGCGCGCCTCTCGTTAGCGCCCTCGCGCGCCCTCGCTAGCGCCCTCGTGCGCCTCTCGTTAGCGCCCTCGCGCGCCCCTCGCAGCGTCGCCCGCCCGCCGAGCCGCCCGCTCGCAGCGTCGCCCGCCTACCGCGCTGCCCGTTTCGCAGCCCGCCCGCCGAGCCGCCTGCTCGCAGCGTCGCCCGCCCGCCCGCTGCCCGCTTGCAGCGTCGCCCGCCCGCCCGCTGCCCGCTTGCAGCGTCGCCCGCCCGCCCGCTGCCCGCTTCGCAGCGTCGCCCGCCCGCCGCGCTGCCCGCTCGCAGCGTCGCCCGCCCGCCTCGCTGCCCGCTTGCAGCGTCGCCCGCCCGCCCGCTGCCCGCCTCGCAGCCCGCCCGCTCGCTCGCTGCCCGCTCGCAGCGTCGCCCGCCCGCCCGCTGCCCGCTTGCAGCGTCGCCCGCCCGCCCGCTGCCCGCTCGCAGCGTCGCCCGCCCGCCTCGCTGCCCGCTTGCAGCGTCGCCCGCCCGCTGCCCGCTTGCAGCGTCGCCCGCCCGCCCGCTGCCCGCTTCGCAGCCCGCCCGCCGCGCTGCCCGCTCGCCGCGTCGCCCGCCCGCCCCGCTGCCCGCTTCGCAGCCCGCCCGCCGCACTTCCCGCCTGCAGCGCCGCCTGCCCACCGCGCTGCCCGCTTCGTAGTCCGCCCCCCCCCGCACTGCCCGCTCGCCGCGTCGCCCGCCCGCCGCGCTTCCCGCCGAGCTACCTACCTGCAGCGCTGTGGCAGCTTCCTTTGCTCAGTCGCGCTGTCGCTATGGCTTCCATCCGCGTGCTGTCGTTCGATGCTGAGGGCCGCCCTGTGAAGTTCGCCACTTGGCTGGATGACCTGCAGCTGTTCCTTCTGAGCGATAGCAAGGAGCATGTGTCGCTCTATGATTACGCGTCTGGTGCTGCACCTGCCCCCCCTGCCACAGCTGAGCTTAGTGTTCGTTCCCACTGGCAGACTCGTGACGCAGCTGCTCGCCTAGCCATTCGCAGTCACCTACCGCTAGCTGAGCTCGAGCATTTTGGCGACTGCAAATCCGCTAAGGCCCTGTACGATGCTGTCGTTGCTCGCTACTCCTCGCCTGCCACAGCCGAGCTTAGCCGCCTCATGCTGCCGTACCTGTTCCCTGAGCTGTCCACCTTTGCTACAGTCGCCGATCTTATCACCCACCTTCGCACTAGTGATGCCCGCCTGCGTGCCGCCCTTCCCACTGAGTTCTGCGCTAAGAATCCCCCTCCACTGTACTGGACACTCCACTTCATAGTCACCCGTCTCCCTGACACCCTCAGCTCAGTTCGAGACCACTTCCTTGCTCGCTGTCCCACTGAGCTCACAGTCGCCCTCCTAGAGGAGCAGCTGCTAGCGGCCGAAAAGAGCATTGTAGCTGTCGGTGCTGCTCGTGGCGCTCCTCGCACCCCCATCTTTGAGGGGTGTTCTCCCTCTCCCCTCGCTCCCTCCTACGCTACTGCTGCTGCTGTTGACTTCCTTGGTGCTGAGTCTGCTGGCGCTGCTTCTGCTCCTGGTGGGAGGCGCCGCACCGGCAAGGGCAAGGGGGGCAAGGGTGGCGGGGGTGGCGCTGGGGGGGGAGGAGGTGGGGGAGGTGGGGGGGGAGGCGGTGCTGGAGGGAGCGGTGGCGGGAGCGCTGGTGGGAGTGGGGTCGGCGGTGGAGGCGGGGGCGGCGGAGGGAGCGGTGGCGGTGGTGGCGGCGGCGGCGGTGGCGGCGGCGGCGGCGGTGGCGGTGGCGGCGGTGGCGGTCGGAGCGGTGGTAGTGGTGGCGGCGGAGGTCGGAGTGGAGGCACTGGCTCGGGCCAGAGCTCCCACCAGCAGCAGCGTCCCCAGACGACCCAGCAGCTTCGTGAGTGGCTTGCTCAGCGTGGGACGTCGGGGGGCAGTGGCCGCTGTTCCTATGTCATTCGCACAGGTGACCGCAAGGGGCAGACGTGTGGGAGGTTCCACACCCCGTACCGCTGCTTCTCCCGCCTTGACGACGCTTGGCGTGAGGAGATGGGCGAGGATGTTGAGCGCCCCCGCTGGGCTGAGCTGATGAGGGCTGGTGTTGATATCTTTGCTCTTGACTATGATGCTATTATTGCTGCCATGTATGCATTGACTGTTAGTGCCGAGGGAGACTGTTACTTGTGTGTGCCGCCTGACCCAGGTATAGAGCCAGCTGCCCTGGGTACTAGTGAGTCTGCTCTCTCTGGTATGGTGCCCCCTGTACTTGCTCCCTCCAGTGCTGTCCCCGCTGTTTGCGAGTCTGCTCTCTCAGGTACAGCACCCACAGAGACTGCTCTCTCAGGTACCGCACCGGCTGAGGCCTGTCACACCTTCACCCTTGACTCAGGTGCTTCCCGCTGTTTCTTTCGTGACAGTACTGAGCTCACACCGCTTCCTGCACCGGTCCCAGTCTCCTTGGCTGACCCCTCTGGGGGCCCAGTCCTTGCCCAGTCCACCACTGTGCTCCCTTGTCCGGCGGTTCCGTCTGGCTCGTTGTCGGGTTTCCACCTCCCCTCGTTCTCGACGAACCTGGTGAGCAACGCTGTCATCCAGGATCAGTGGGTTGACACCTTTACCCCTGGAGGACAGCGTGTGGCGATCTGCACGTGCTCCAGGACCGGCCGTCACCTGGCTACGTTCACCCGTCGACCGGGGTCGAGTCTCTACACACTGACCACTGCGTCTCCTCAGGTCGCTGCTGTCGGTCAGGTGTCCGCGTCAGGTCTGGTGGCCCACGCCTGTGAGTGTCGTTCCCTGTCGCACCAGACTCTTCTCTGGCACCACCGCCTGGGTCACCCCTCCTTGCCACGCCTCCGTGGCATGCACCGTCGCCGCCTTGTGTCTGGTCTTCCCAGGTCCCTCCCTCCCCTCCCTGCCTCGCCTGCGCCGCCTTGCCTTCCTTGCGTCGAGGGGCGGCAGCGCGTCGCTCCTCACTCCTCCTCGTTCCCCCCGACAGAGGCTCCTCTGCAGACCCTCCACCTGGACGTGTGGGGCCCAGCCCGCGTTCGTGGCCAGGGCGGTGAGCGGTACTTTTTGCTGGTTGTTGACGACTACTCGCGTTACACCACGGTCTTCCCCTTGCGCACCAAGGGTGAGGTCCCTGCTGTTCTGATCCCTT